CATCTCTCCATCCTTCATTCCTTTATTCCTTCCTCCCCTCCCTCCCTCCCTTTCTCTTCTTTCTTTCTGTGTCTTTATTTCTATCTTGTTTCTTTTCTTTCTATCCTGTGTTTTCCCCATCCTTCCATCTTTCTTTCCTTCATTTCTTTGTTCCTTCATTCCCTCCTCCTTTCCTCCCTCCCTCCCTTTCTGTCTTCTTTCTCTCCTTACCTCCCTCCCTCCCTCCCTTTCTATTTTTTCCTTCCTTCCTTCCTTCCTGTCTGTTTTCTTTCTCTATTTCTTATTCTTTTCCAGTGTGGGAGCTTTAATTCAAGGCCCAGGCACTGTCCCACAGCTCTTCAGCTCAAAGCCAGCGTTCTACCACTTGAGGCAGAGTGGCAGATTTGGTTTTCTGAGTGGATTATTGGAGATAAGAATCTCAGAGTTTCCTGCCAGGCCTGGCTGTGAACTGCAAACCTCAGATCTCAGGCTCCTGAGTAGCTAGGATTACAGGTGGGAGCCACTGGTGCCCAGCTAAGCTGGCATTTTAGTTACCCTGTCTTTTTCTTTTCCTTATTTTTCTTTTTTTGTCTTTTCTGTTCCTTTCTTCTTTAATCCCTTCCTCCATCAATGTGTCTTTCAGTACATCCCTCCCTGCCTCCATGTCTGTCTCTTCTTTCTCTTTCTCCCTTTCTTCCTTTCTTTCTGTGTGTATATTTCTTTCTTCTTTTTTTCTATCCTGTCTTTTCCCCATCCTTTCTTCTTTCCTTCCTTTGTTCCTTTGTTCCCTCATTTCCTCCTCCCTCTCTCCTTCTGCCTTTCTCCTTCTTTCCTTCTTTCCTTCCTTCCTTCCTTCCTTGTTCTTTCTTAGTTTCTTTCTCGTGTTCTCTCTGTTTTCTTTCTTTTTCTCTTTCCCTCCCTCCTAATTTGTTTCTTTCTTTGTCTTGTTCTCACTCTTTCTCTTTCTCTCTCTTTTTCTTTTATTCTTTATTTATTTATTTTGGTCCGGTGGTGGGGCCTGAACTCTGGGCCTGGGTGCTATCCCTCAGCTCTTCAGCTCAAGGCTAGCACTCTACCACTTGAGCCACAGCACCACTCTTGGCTTTTTTCTTTTTTCTTTGGGTCCGGTCATGGGGCCTGAACTCTGGGCCTGGGCGCTGTCCCTCAGCTCTTCAGCTCAAGGCTAGCCCTCTACCACTTGAGCCACAGCACCACTTCTGGCTTTTTTCTTTTTGCTTATGTGGTGCTGAGGAATTGAACCCAGGGCCTCCAGCATGCAAGGCAAGCTCTCTACCACTGAGCCACCTTCCCAGCCCCTCGGCTTTTTTCTTATGTGGTGCTAAGGAATCGAACCCACGGCATCGAGCCTGCAAGGCAAGTGCTCTACCACTGAGCCAACTTCCCAGCCCCCACTTCCAGTTTTCTGAGTGGATTATTGGAGATGAGAATCTCTTGGAGTTTCCAGCCTGGGCTGGCTTTGAACTGCAATCCTCAGAGCTCAGGCTCCTGAGTAGCTAGGATTACAAGTGTGATCCACCTGGGCCCAGCTAAGCCCCCATTTTAGTTACCCTGACTTTCATTTCTGTTCTCTTCCTTCCTTTCTTCTTTCCTTCATACTTTCTTTCCTCCCTTCCTCCATCCCTCCCTCCATCCCTCCCTCCATCCCTCCCTCCCTGCATCCATGTATCTATCTCTCCTTTCTTTCTGTCTTTCTTTCTTTCTTTCTGTCTGTCTTTCTTTCTGTGTCTCTTCTTTCTATCCTATCTTTTTCCCATTCTTCCATCTTTAGATCCTTCATTCCTTCATTCACTCCTCTTTCCCACTCCCTGTCCCTTTTCCTTTCTTTTTCTTGCTTTCTTTCCTTCTTTATTTCTGTGTCTTTATTTGTATCTTCTTTCTTTTCTTTGTATGCTGTGTTTTTCCCATCCTTCCATCTTTCATTCATTTCTTTGTATCTTCATTCCATCCTCCTTCACTCCCTCCCTCCTTTTCTGTTTCCTTTCTCTCCTTACCTCCCTGCCTCCCTTTATATTTCTTCTTTCTTTCTTTCCATCCTTCCTGTTTTCTTTCTTTCTCTTTTCCAGTCTGGGAGATTTATTTCAAGGCCTGGGAGCTGTCCCTCACCTCTTCAGCTCAAGGCCACTGCTCTACCTCTTGAGCGTTTTCTGAGTGGATTATTGGAGACAAGAATCTCAGAGTTTCCTGCCAGGCCTGGCTGTGAACTGCAAACCTCAGATCTCAGGCTCCTGAGTAGCTAGGATTACAGGTGGGAGCCACTGGTGCCCAGCTAAGCCGGGATTTTAGTTACCCTTTTTCCTTTCTTTTTTTTTTCTTGTCCTTCCTTCTTTCTTCTTTCCTTAATCCCTTCTTCCCACCCTGTGTCTTTCCATACATCCCTCCCTCCCTGCATTCATGTCTGTCTCCTTTTCTTTCTCCATTTCTCTTTCTCTCCCTCCCTCCCTCCCTCCTCCCCATCTCTCTTTCTTTCTTTCTGTCTGTCTGTTTTTCTGTATTTCTGTCTTTCTTTCTGTTTTCCAGTTCTGGAGCTTGAATCAGGGTCTGAGCTTCTCTGTGCTCAAGGCTAGCACTCTACCACTTAAGGCACAGTACCACTTCTGGCCTTCCTGTGTATTTGGTACTGAGGAATCAAACCCAGGGCTTCATGCATGTCTGGCAAGCAGTCTATCACTGAGCCACATTCCCAGCCCCGCTCCCCCTGCCTATTTCAAGTGCTTACAGGAGGTACTGCTGGCATGAGCTAAAGTTTTCACCAACCAAACGGTGAACCAGATGCTCCTCCATGGTGGGTATGGAGGCTAGAGTCAAGTTCCACCCACAAGTCCGATGGATACCCAGACCTTCAGGAGGCCACCCCATAGGGTCATCGCCCCTTTCTAGCAGGAAGCAACTTCAGAAGAGGGATCACTATCTCTTCTCCTGGCCAATAACAAGGAACAGAATAAGTGGGAAATGGAACAACGTACAACAAAGGGGCCCATCGGCTGCACTGGACATAGAAGAACAAGAACTAAGCAACCCGAAGACAGCGATGGGAAGGGAGGAAAGAGGGAAAGAGGGAAAAAGGGAAAAGTAATCATTCCCTGAGGCGGAAGAATTGATTTCTATTGTCAAAGATCCTGGAATTCACAACTGTATAGACCATGATAATGACAATTTGCCTAGTGAAGGTTAAAATATGATTGTGACTTTAACTAAGTGTCACTATTGTACAACACTGTGAAACATGTGAAATTTAGGTAATCACCTAATCTCAAATTAAAAGAAAAAGTGAGAAAAGGGATGGGTTAGGAGTGATGGGTGATGATGTGGTCAGGCCCTTGTACTCATGTGCTGTTTTGTAGAATGGGAACTTCTTTGTACAACTACTTAAAGATATAATAATAAAAAAAAGAAAATGAGAAAGGTGGAATGTTTGCAGGTGTGAAGTCATTCTGTGAGGCCTACATTCCCCCAGGCCAAAGTTCTGTCTGCCCCGGGGCCATGTCTGCCTGCCCCTAATCCCAAGCTCTGTCTGCCCCGAGGCCAAGTCTGCCTGGCTCTCTGTGTCTCCAGGTTGCTCTGGCTTGGCCACTAAGGTTAACCCTGCCTCCCATTCTCAACACAGTTCCCCCCATCTCTCTCAGTCTCCTTCCTAGAAATACCCT